TATGGCTGAATAAACAACTCGTTTGAACCACTAGTTTTACACAAAACCCGGTTACCAACTTTTCCTTGACCCGACCGGGTCTTAAGCAGCCCGTGTTTCACTTTCCTTACAAAGTCCAGTTTCCCCACTCCCGTCTCCTCACAGCTTCTAAGATTCTTGCAAAATTAAAAATCTCAGCCACCGTCTCCAATCTCCTAACGGCTTCTTCTCACTCATGGAACAAACAGCACCACTATAATCACCTGAGATCTTTAATATGAACTTAACACCAAAAAGAGTCCCAGTGAAAGATCTCAAGATTTTCATAGCTAATTCCTCAACAAAGATAGGCTATTATTTTTCAGTGGCTTGTTAAGTAGGGTTTGAAGCTGGGCTATAAAATTCTTTACCTTTCACTAACTCTTTAATCAATCGTTTCCTCTTTATAAGTAGGGTTTCACTCAAAATGCTCATTTTTCTCGCTCAGTGTGTGTAAATTTTTTAGATCTAGTTTTGAGGGGAAGAAGGGTTTTCTATGGTTTAGATCTGGTTTTTAGATCTTGCTCAGCATTTTTGTTTTTGTTAAGAGCATAGGGGCAAGTGCCAAGTGGGAGAAGATGGCTCAGTGCCTCATTTTGTCTGTCGTGCCAGGAGATGTCTCACGCCTGTGTACAGTGTAGAGGAGCCATTTAGTTTTCTAAAGTATGATAATTCCTTTGCACTTTCTGGTTTGGATTAAAAGATAATAATGGGAGATTGGAGAAGATGGCAGAAAAGGACTGAGAAATTTGACACACCTTCAATTTCGTATAAAGAGTAAAGACAAACACTGACTTTGTTGAATAAGATTCAATGATGATTTTATTTTTCAAAGCATATTTCATTGATCTTGAATTTGTGAAATTTGAAATACAAATTGATCTTTAATTAACAAAATAATATGAAGTTAATTTAGTTATTGGAAGAAAATGGTAAAATTTTATTATTCAATGAAAATAATTAATAATATATGATAGGCATTGACCCACCGGTTGAACCATCGGGTCGCCGGTTGAACCACTGACCCGTTGACCTGCTGCATTTTTCGAGTGAGTGTCCGGGTCGGGTCTGATAACTATGGTCTATATATTCAAGTGCTCACTAAAGTTTAAGATGTCGAGTTTTGGTCACTAAAATTTGAAGTATGTTGGACGTTACTCACGAGTATAACAACCATTTAAATCCTCTAACAAAATTGATGATGTGGCTGATGGAATGCATACATGGGGGGCATACATGGCTCCCCGTCACGTTGTCAAATTTTGAGATAGTTGAATTTTGGCCACTAAACTTTGAAAAATATTTTTGATTGCTTATAAACTTTGAAAAACATCTTCTATTGCTCAATGAGCCTTGAGATGGTTGAATTTTGACCACTAAATTTTGAGACGGTCAAATTTGGCCATTAAACTTTGAAAAACGTCTTCTATTAATCACGGTAATTTTGGATGCAATTAACATTCGTTGTTAAAAGTTGAATTTGGTTTAATTCTAACTATTGTAGGTTTAGTTGTAAAATTCAAATATTAAAGTTTAGATTTAATTTAATTTTAATAACAAATTTATTGTATATTTCGTTTCATAAATAGTTATCTTACTATTTGAATTTTTTTTGCAATGAAACTTACAATAGTTTTGTTATTAAAATTAAATTAAATGTAAATTCTAATATTTGGAGTTTACAATGAAACACACAATAAGCCCTTGTTTGGTGAGGATTAGAATAAGATTTATTGTAAATTTTAATAAAAGTTGATGAAATGTGTGGTTAAAAAGTTGTAAGTCCCTTAATTGTTGATTTTGAGTTTGATAAAATTCTAAATTTAATTTCTACCAAACATGGGTTAAATTTGTTGTTAGAATTAAATTAAATTCAAATTTTAATCCAAATTTTAACAATTAATTTTAATTAAATCTAAATTTATTGTGAGCAATATAAGATATTTTTCAAAGCGTAGTGATCAAAATTTGACCATCTCAAAGTTTAGGGGTCAAAATTCGACACCTAAAAGTTCAGTGAGTAATAGAAGATTTTTTTTAGATTTAGTGAGCAACTACAAACCTCTTTCAGAGTTTAATGGTTAAAATTTGACATTTTCAAATATCAGTGGTCAAAATTCAACTACCTAAAGTTTAGTGAGCAATAAAAGATGTTTTTCAAAATTTAGGCCGACTTCACCCCTATCCATGTGAGCGTATTCGGAGGAGAAAGCTCAAACCCGAATGGTGAAATTTGTTGCTGCCACTGAGTTGCTTCTGTCTATTGCCGACAACCAACACTTTGTCTCGTACGCGAAAGAATATTCTGCAGCCAAGATACGTTGGGGTAAGTCGAATCACTCTTCGTGCCGATACAAGACAATATTTCAATTATTCAAAACAACAATTAATTATAAATTTGCAACAATATAGGGGTATTATTATTTAACTTCGGATATATGGGAAGGGGTTAATGAAAGAGCTTACATAGCTGTAACAGCACACTATATAAACCCACTTTGGTACAAGTATAAAAAAATTATTGCTTTTAGAATTATTGAATTTATTCACAATGCTAATAATATATAATACTATTATCAGTATTGTTAGAGAATATAATTGCGAGGCTAAAATTCGGTCATTTACTTTCAATAATGCTAGTGTTAATAAGGTAGTTATCGATAAATTGTGTAGGGTACTGCAACTTGATTTCGGTGAGTATTTGTTTCATATTCATTTTATGTGCCATATTTTGAATTTAATTGTGCAAGATGACTTAAAACATATAAAGAATGAACTTCAAAAGATTAGGAATGCACTAGTATATATCATGATCTCCCCTAGTAGAAAACAAGTATTTGAAGATTATTGTGTCGAAATAGGAGTGACGACTGCTAAAACATTTGTTAGCGATGTAAGTTATAGATGAGACTCTACTTACTTGCTGTTAAAGTCATGTGAAGGTTTCGAATATTTAATAATCGACTTTTATAACAGTAGACACGTTAGAAGCGATGACGATACTATATTGAATGAATCTGATTGGCATTTAGCTTTGAAAGTTAAAATTTTTTTGACATCTTTTTATGAAAACACAAAAATTTTATTGGGCTTTTATTATTCCACAAGTTGTATGATGCTTGAACACCTTTATATAATTGCAAGAACATTCCATAAATATAAAAATGGCCCTGATTTTAGTGAAATTATAATTGTTATGGAATTAAAGTTTATAAAATATTGGAAAGATTTGCCTATGTTGTTTTCTTTAGCATGCATAATGGACCGTCGATATAATTTATCGGGAACTAAATATATAATTGATCAAATCAACAAATCCTTAATGTTTTATACACCTATCACCTATAGGAATTTAGAGCAAACATTATGTGAAATGTATGAATTATATGGGAACCGAATGGGTGAGAATGTTAGTCGGGTACCCACTGCACCTACTCCTTCTACTGAAATTAAAGAAGATGACACTGAAATAATAAATTTATTTCAAGGCATTAATATATATAGATATGATGCAACTGCAATGTATTCATCGAGTGTCATGTCGTCTACATCTATATCTTATCAAACATCGACCGCAACTTAAAATGTGATATCTGTCAAATTAATTGATTACTTCAATTAAAATATGTCAACAGACAAAACAATTAAAAAATGCTAAGGAGAAGTAATTGAATTCTAGGAAAAGTATGAAAGAAGTTGACCAGTTATTTTTGCAATTACGAAAGATCTGTTGACACCTCGGTTAGTACTGTTGTTTCAGAGTCTGCTTTTAGTGTAGGTAAAAAAGTTTTGATCGATGTTAGGACCCAACTGAAAGAAAATATTTTGGAAGCCTTAGTGTGCGTGAAGGTTGACAAGATGCTAATTTTCGAGTACAAAATAAATATGTAGAAATTACATGTCGTTAGGTAAGTGATATTTGATTTAATTATATTAATCAAAATTTATTATTTTTTAATCATTATATTTAACTTTCTTTAAAAAATTGTACATGTTACAACAAGTTGTTCGTATACAATTTTTAACTCCGCCTACTTAAAATTGATGTAGCCGATCCCAAATCCGGATAAAGGAGAAGGATTTACATTTTATCTATTTTAACAAGAAAATGAAAAAAAATGAATTTTTTGTAAATGTATTTCAAAAGAAAAAAACGTCTTCATTATATAAATATTTAACACTTTATAGAAAATATTACTATATGATAAAAATAAAAAAATCGTATTCATTAAATTATTTTTTTAAAAAATACATTTGTGTTCATTTGTTTTTTTTTTTGTTTAAAAAAATAAAAATGGACAAGCTCGCGAGCTAAAGCTCGGGTCGGCCCACGAGCTCAACTTATTGAAAACGAGCCACGAGCTCGACTCGGCCCATTACCATTCCTATTTAATGGTGTGACGAGGCACCATGTATGTATTCCGTTAGCCATGTCACCAATTCCGCAGAGGTTTTAAATGGATGTTATGCCAATGAGCAACGTCTAACGTTTTTCAAAATTTAGTAGCCAAAACTTACAGTTTGGATGCAACTTCTGGATTGGTGAAACCTCACTTGGACCTTGATTTCAAATTCTTCATTGGATATGAGGGGTGGCGTCTGAAGAAAGAGGACAATGAATCTGATTACTGGTATGTTGCTGCATGTAGTGCAACCTTGATTGGGGTTCACGAAGTTCTGACGGCTTGTGGAAAGAAATTCTTCAACGAATGTGTGGTCACTGCTCAGAATTGAGCCGCAAGCCCAAGCAAGATCTCTAGTTCTGAGTGAGGGACTTAACATCAAGAATCATCAGTAGACTCAAATATAGAACTAAAGTGTACAGTATTTAGCAGAGGCTTAATATCAATAGATGTCTTGTCATTTCTTTTACGTTTATGTAAATAAGTTTGCTACCAATGAAAGTGTATGTATTAATCTTCTGAAGGAAAAGTTTCCCTATATACACACTCGCAATCTCCATCTAGTTATATGACCTTGCATAATGGTACTTGGTTCCGTCCAGATTGTATACTGCAACTGCAGTTTCTAAATTGTTAATGTCAGCAGTCATGAAAGAAATGAACTTGCATTGCACACGCACAATATAACCAAGACTGAGCAACTTCTTCAAACTATATACATATGGAAATTCCCTTCCCAAAAGGTGCAATTCCACTTACAAACGGTCACCCCGTACTCCACTTATCAACTTGAGAAGTACATCTACAAATTGAATCTAAGAGACATTGATTTCAAACTAAACCACATTTCAGCTCCTTCCACCACCTCTTGGCAAGTGCATGTTGCAATGCCAGCAAGAAGAGACGTATCCGACTATATTCATTTCCAAATGAGGGGGGTGTGATACGTCATGTCTAGCGATACTCCTTTTCTTCCTTCCACATATTGAACTACTCATAGCAGTTCTTTTTGGTCATGGCCTTGTCTAGACGTGCTTTTCGAACTGCCTCCTGAATTTGTCTCTCATGTTCCTTTAGCATGTCTTCCATGTTTCCGCCTGGAGGCATCAATGGTCCAGAGCAAAGGATCCTGCTCCTCTTTGGTACATAACTCTGAAAATACACAAGTCAATTAATATATATATATATAGCTACCACAGACAAAATATTAACATAATGGTTGTTGATCAGTTTACTACTGACCAACCATTACTATAGAATCTATGGATCCTCGGCCAAGAGAGAAATGTGGATGATAATATGTTTTAGTATTAGGTTGCATATGGTAAGAAATGAACTAAGGTTCATGGTAAGAAAGAGTGCATTAAGATATGTTAAGAAACAGTTATGACACAGCCAGTTGTGAATTCAAAGTTCAAATTATGTCTAACAAATAGGGCAAGGAAATGAAAGCAGCCAGTTTCGAGAACATACTAATGAGTCATTATTAGATGTTCCATCAGCACCCCTTGAATGATGGATCGAGTCTACTATCGATGGACGCATTTGCGAACCCTGTCTTATCAACCATCCACCATGTTGAGATGAGCTAGTCCGCTCTGGGAACATATGACTAGCATCATCCTTTACCTTTTTATTACTCGAGTATCCTACTGCATTAGGATGAATCATTGAATTAGAATGAGAATAACCATTTCTCAGATTTCCTCTTGGTGGCTCAATTGGGAAGCCAGATCCACTGTCCTCCTGTAAATTGTACTTCACACTGGTGCTTTTATTTGATTGTCCCTGTTTTGTTCAGAATAATTGTGAGAATTTATAGGAAAAAGAGGTGGGGGGGGGGGGGGGGGGGTGGGGAAAAAAGGGAAGTGAAGATTGTTAAAGCAATCAACGTTATGTGATCCACAACAAAAATTGTTTAGTGTAAAACCCCTTAAGCGTAATAGTTGGTCCAAAAAGAAATACGAGAGTATATATAAGAGTCAAGTTAAATACTACAGTCAGAGGTAATACCTCTGTTCTTCCAGGCATGATAGGCTTCCCAGCAAACAATTCAGCAAGGATGCAGCCAGCACTCCACATATCAATTGCCACTCCATACTCTGTTGCACCTAATAAAAGTTCAGGAGCTCTGTACCATAGAGTTACGACGCGACTTGTTAACGGCTGCATTTGACCAGGCTTAAAGAAATTAGACAGACCAAAGTCTCCAATCTTCAGAATTCCATTATTGTCAACTAGAAGATTCGAAGCCTTGATATCTCGGTGAAGAACGCCATGATTGTGACAGTGTTCTAGCCCGCGAAGCAATTGCTGCATATAACATTTTATCTGCAACCGCAGTACACAAGGGTCATATAATATTTGAACACTTGATATTCTGATAGTTTTCTGAAAAGAAAGAAAATTTCATAAGGCACAGTACCCATTCAACAACCCCCCCCCCCCCCCCCCCCCCCCCCCCCCCACAACAAAAAACCACCACACCAACCCCCCCCCCCCCCCCCCACCCCCCCAAAAAAAAAAGAACGGAAAATTCTCTTGTTGTACTGCGAATTATTGATTTTGGGCAATACTTCTTTTAATTCAGTACGTTATTGAGCTCCAAATGGTTATGCCAAACAAACTTTGTGATCGTGTGAAACCTAAGTGCAATCACTAATGCAGTACAATGATACTTATTTTCCACTTTTCTATATTTTTTTTCATATCTTCTGGTAAATAAAAACTTCTAAGAAACGATCAAGTTTCTTATTCATTCTTATACACAAGTCTAGACAATATCTTTGTTTCTTTTGTTCTTTTTTGTGGCGACACTAAAATAACCAAGAAGTAAAATTTAGTAACTGTTTGCACTGTGGTTATCCTTTAGAATAGGGAAAGAAGCTATATGGTCATGGCTCGAAATATATATCCAGTATTTGATAACTGAAGGCAGTTCTTCTATATTCAATTGTTAAGCCTTAAATTGGAAAATTTATAATGGGTTTATACAGAGGATTATTAGTATATCCCATAAAATTTGTGAATAATAATGCGTAGTAGTTATAAATTTGTAATTGAAATTAACATTTGACTTTAAATAAATTTATAAACTTTTATGCTAAATTACTATTAGAATACCATTATGTATATGATTGATGACCATAAATTTAAGAACCCGAGATGAGATTACTTACCTGTGGTTCTGTGAATTTGACCTTAGGTGATGATAGAAGTCCAGCAAGATCATGCTCCATGTATTCAAATACAAGGTACAAGCTTCCCGAAATCCTTGATGTCACTATTGATTCAAGTTTCATGATGTTTGGATGGTCCAACTTCCGCAGAATGCAAATTTCCCTTGCCATGAAACGAACACTCTCTGGGTCCATCTTAACAAATCTTACTTTTTTCATTGCTACAATTTTATCATTTGTTAAGTCACGAGCTTTGTAAACACTACTGTAAGTTCCTTGTCCAATCTGCAAAAGGATGAAATCATTTCAAAGTCAACCTATCAAACTGACCACTAACGTGGAGCAGAAATAAGGAAAACATAGAAGGCTAGAAAACTCACTTTATTTAGCTTTTCATAGGATTCAGCGCTTCGAGGAACCCAACCTCGGATGGCCTCTCCAGCAACAGAAACTAGCCAAGATGGCCATCCTGCAGAGACCTGCTCGGCTTTAGCACAATGTGGCATACTAAAGATCCTAAACCTCGTTTGTTGTGTTCCACTGACTCCAATGTCTGGAGTTGAACACCTCTGATGACCATTCTTAGGCCTTCCAATAATCTGTGTTTTCCCATTTTCCTCGACATTTTGAGGATTATAAGTGCCCTCATTCAATTCTGATGTCGTTTTAGATCGCGAATGAAGAGAACCTTCAGTCCTAGAATTGTTAACTACTCCTATAACCTCTTCTCTGCACAGAGGAGCAACCATCTTTACAGGAGATTTATTTAGCTCTTTTTCTTTTCCCGTCTCATTCTCAGTAACATAATCATCTGCATCAGATTCTTTTGAGCAAATGCAGCCCATTCTTTGCAAACAAGACAGATGAATGTGAGATGTACACAATTAGCGATTTAGCGTTCCAAACTTGAAGTTTCGAAATGACCCAATTGTTCGAGGACACAATTTTGCAAATTACTGAATGGGAATGGGACGTTTAATGACCAAATTCAATCAATGATAAGGCTAACAAGAATCTTGATCACATGTCCTGTTCCACCATTCAAATCCAACCAGAGCAAAAAATCCCCAAGAACTTATAATGAGGCTAGAATTTTCTCAGATGCCAATAGGAATCACAAAATCCCTCTAATAATCCCAAAATTCTTGCCACACAAAAGGCCAATGTTCGAAGAATGTTCAGAGAGGGTCGAGTCAAAATGGAAGCCTTCAAATAATTCCAGATGGTCTATAAACAACTACAAAAAGTCAGATATGAATCTTTATTTTAATGGAAAAAATGTTCCAACCAGAAAGGTTTTCGAAGGGGAAAAGGACGAAATTATCAAAAACTCGATGAAAAGCCTAGACCAGAATCCAGCATTACAAGAAAAGGTTAATATATAAAGTTTAAGCTTAAGAAGATATATACACAAAATGCATTTAATATGCATTTACTGATGTTATGCTTTTGGATTGATGCAGGAGTTCTGGTCAAGGTTTGGAGGGTCATAATGAAAGATTTTGGGTTCCAAAAAAATAAATGTAATCATAATTTTTATTAAACAAATAAAACGCTTAGATTAGATGCCAAAAATGCGGATACGTCAGCACAGATTGGGGGAAAAAAAGAAAGTAAAAAGAAAGGAAAAAAAAATTGTTTTCATGATCGAAAAGGGAAAAGAGAGAATTACGGGTCTCGCGGACAGCTAGAAATGCGAGTGACCGTCTCTTATTAAGGTTTAAACAGATTTCTTCATTAGTTGAGAATGTTTTTACGTACCTTTTCTACATGATGTGTTTTTGCACACAAATGGTTGCATGTAATTGTAAACACATATCCGCCATTTTTGTTGAGAAAGAAAGAGATTAATAAAATTTTCAGAATGAAGAGTTGAAGCGCCATTGACTCCTAGCAGACGTGCCTTGCATTAAGAGGGATGATGAATGCCACGTGGACCGCATTCAGACATGACGTATAGTGGGCCAGTTCCAAATTTATACTAGAATAAAGCTGCAGGCTCCGATCTAGGGGCCGAGTTGGCCAAATCTTGGCCCCTTGATGTGTGTTTGGAGCCCCCAAATGAAAATGATCAAGGGCCGAGATGTTCTGGAGCAGAACCCGGAATTTTATCCTGAGTTCTGTAGAATGATTCTTTATACTATCTGTTGGGTCAGGCCTACACCCTACTAATGGATTAGTCTACTTCACTTGACTAGATTGGATTCCTACCCGACCTGTCCCCAACTAGCATTTTTGTATTATCACCTACCTTTCTTGTGTATTTATCAATGCTCTTGATTAATTTGGTGCAAAAATACTTTTGTGTTCATCATAGTTTTTAATTGATGCGCTACATTTTAATTGTAACGAAGATTTTCAATTTGTATTAGTTATGGCACTTATGCCACACACCTACTTTTTGTTTTCGTGTCTTTTCATGTGATTAAGTGAAGAATAAGTATAAGAATGTAAAATTACGTAAATAATCAAAGGTTGAACATCTTAATTGTAATTAAAATAATTGTGGTGTCAATATAATTACTCAAAAAATATATTTAATGTGGGATGAATGAACACCCTGATGATAAGTGTAATTTATATATTTATTTATATCACAAAACAAGGATTTTATTGATTAATTGAATTGGAATATGGCCTAATTCTATGTGATTTGTGTTTTGTAGCTTAACATTGATGATAAGGTGAAATTGGAGAAAACATGGGAAAAGGACCAAAATGGAGGAAAAAATTTGAGGACCAAAGTGTAAATAGTCAAAAGATGATCCAAAAGAAGAAAAAAAAATATGAAAGAATTGATGATCAATTGAGCAAAGGAATAAAGCCTTGGGAGAAGAAAAATTGAGATCGAAAAAAATGAGAAATTACAATTCAGGGACCAGAGTACAATAATTAGAAGTTATACACTACTATATGGTCGCATAGCAGGTTCATCCAAACGATTGTTTGTGGTAGTGTAGGGATTTCAAAGGCCAACCACTAAAGAACTATGCGACCACTTCCAAGTACACTGTGGTCACTTATGGTTAAATCACATTGGAAAATATGGTTTTCCTTATTTTATTTCGACTCTTATGGAAACAATATTGGAACATCTTTATTAGCCATAGAACGCTCAGAATATGTACACCATGCATTCTAACATATTTTGGAGCACTGGAGGAGGTCAAAAATATCAAGATCAATTCCAAAACTCGAAGATTCAAGTTAAGATTTATTTGGGTGATGTGGATTCTTCAATATTTTTTTTGTTTGTTTTTCCATAACATGCTAAGCTAAATTTCTTTGTGTTAAGAGAAAGATAAACTTTTTTTTTTTTTGAGTTTTTAATATTTAGTTTTATACTTTTGACATTAAAACACCTTTTTAATTATAGAACAGATTTTTATTGATTTGATATTCTTTACAATTATAGTGCACGATAATTTTATGCATGTGGTCATTTGTTTTACCTTCAAAAGAAGGAAAATAAATTTGAAGTAGTGATTATTTTCATAGGTCTGATAGGGAATAAAAATACTGCTATACTTTATATGAATTTTTAAATGTTCATAAAAACAAATTCATTCTTATATGTTCGCATTCGTCATAGAAATATCGTTGAGTCATAAATGAGAATGCGTTTAACTCAACTCGAAAGAGGGTTTTAAATAAAATAAGAACATTGATTCTTCGTAATTGATTGGTATTGTCAAATTGTAGAATTAATGTTAAAAATGATAATACATGGGGATTCAAGAATACATTTTCATCATTCATAAGAACTCATAAATTTGCATTTTAGTATAATCTTGCATTCATTCTAGATAATTTTTTCATAGCATTTATAGTTTAGATAATTTGGATCATAATTTAGAGATAGAGAAATTCTCAACGTTCCATTGTTTCGGTTAAGGCTACGATAATTAAGATTTGAACTTGAACAATCATTGTGGGAATAATACTTGATCACATATACATTTTATTACTTGTTAATGAACTGTAAACTTGTAGTATTTAAATGAACAAACAAATATTTACGTAACACCTAAGAATCATTACGAATTCCCATTATAACAAGGGATAGTTTAGATATGACCTTGATGAAAATTCCAAAATTCAAAGTTCAAAAACATTTTAAATAGATTAAATTGGCCATGAGTCTTCAAATTTGATGGACTTGTTAAAACAAGTATACTTGGTGGACACTTTGTTCGACGTTATGGTTTACACTTTGTCACGTGGCAAAGTGTCATTTGAGAGTTTTAAAAATTAAAATAGATCTGGAGCCAATCACTTTTTTACAACTCATCAAATGTCAACAACAATGTTAACCTAGAAGAATAATGTTACTCAAATAGGTATTGCAAATAGGTGTTGTGACAAATGTTGAGTTGTCAACACTTGTGTGGGTAATTTTTTTTGTTTAAACTGTATAATGATGTTGTGCCACTTTTCTACCTAATTTTAACCTGTTATTAAGTCTATTTGTATTGCATGATTGAGCTTAGAAATATACAATGGGTTATGCTACGTATACATAACAATTTACATAATGGATTATCAACAAATGATATGACAAGATTTCACGGGATCAAAATTTCATCTATCAAATAATTTTCCCATTCACACTTTGACACCTCGTCATTATATAAATAGTTTTGTACAAGAACCATTTTCATATACAAATGGCAAAATTTCAAAAAGTTTCCTCTTCTATCCTTGTAACAAGTGAATGTGTCATGTTAGCATTAGCATCAATTGAATTGAATCCCTCATGTAGAAGTTCCAAAAAATAAACTCCTCCATTCATCATCTTCCATTTTCACCACCCACTTTTGCATGTAGCTAGCTAATCTTCAACCAGTTTTTTTTTTCTCATCATCATCATCTACCTTCTCATAGAAATGGATCTGATAACCACTGCGCTTAATTTTGTGGTGCCTCCAGCAAACTAGGTCATGCTCACATTTGCCTGGCCAACCTTGACTTTCTTTGATACTCATGAATGGATTTACAATACTTTCTTCACTTCTGAAGATATGTACAACAAAGTGGTAGTCATCACTGGAGCTTTCTCTGGGATTGGGGAGGTAATCATCTAGCTCCACTCTATCAATTTTGTTTTCCTTTTATCTCATCCACAATACTGAATTCGAGTCCATGGATGATTAGAATGAACAAAATTTTAGAATTGAAGACTTTTTTAATTACTTGTCAAGTTTCAATATTTTTTACAGTACTATTCTGAAAATTAAGATTTAAAAATTAGGAAAATAGGCAAAGTATGATATAGATGTCATCTGTGCACAAAAATTCGTCTTTGGGATGGAATCAAGTATTAGATTAAGAAATCATCGATGTTTATGAAATGTAGGAACTTCTCGTTGATTTGTCTAATGCTGGAATAAATTTAAGCAAATGATTAAATAAAGTATTTTTCTTTCACCTGTACTTGTGCCTTGAAAACTTTAAGAATGACCATCTCTTACAACCACAGAAAATTGCTTATGAGTATGCAAAGAGGAGGGCAAATCTTGTATTAATAGCTCGAAGAGAGCATAGGATTCGAGGAATAAGTGAGAGTGCAAGAACGCTGGGGGCAAGGCATGTGTTGATAATGGCTGCAGATGCTGTCAAGGAAGATGACTGTAGGAGATTTATCAATGAGACAATCAACTATTTCGGGTGTGGTAAGCCTTGAGCATTACACCCTTTTCCTTTCAATATGTTTTGCCATTCTTTGCCTAACAAATGAGAAGATTTGAGCCTATTGCTCTAAGCTTAGATTTATATGATATAAGAATTTGAAATATGTATTATCAATTAAAACAAGATTTACTTCAACCATGCCTGCTTGTATTTATTTTTTGGATAAAGGAGAGATCTCGTATTACTGACTTGAGTACTTTCTTTTTCATTTCTTCACACTAGTATAAACTTACAATACAATTGTGTACTTGTCCCTCAGACTTACATGTATATAACATCAGTCATGAATTTTTCTTGTTTCCTCTTGCAATAGATCATTTAGTAAACACAACAAGTTTGGCACATACTTTCTACTTTGAGGAAGATACAGACTCCAGCTTGTTTCCCATTTTAATGGTATCGTCTAAAAGTAGATGCCCTTTGAGTTGTTTCTAGAGTTCATTCAACTTAGATTTTTTTAAAAAAATTATTTTTCATTTCCAAGTCAATATATTTTCTATTTTATGGTTTAGCTTCGTTTAAAGTTGTTGTATATTATCAAGACATAAACTTTTGGGATAAGGCTTATCCAACCTATGTTGCAATCCCTTATCTCCGAAAAACGAGTGGATGGGGTTGTAGTGAATGCACCAGTAGAAAATTGGTTACCTTTGCCAAGGATGAGCTTGTATTCTGTGAGTTTTTATGGTGTCTGCATAATTGCTTTGGTTCCAATTCCAAGATCGACTTTCCTTTCCAATAGCCCATTGGATTATTAGAATGAATGAGTAACTGCAATAACTCAATGGTGTGGAAAACATCTTAACTCTTGTAGTAATTAACTCTTAATATCACTGAGCAATGACAACTTTTTTGTTTTTTCCTCATATTTTCACAAATAGGCTGCAAAATCAGCACTTGCGAACTTCTATGAGACGTTGAGGTTTGAAGTGAAGGATGGAGTCTGAATAACTATTGCAACCCATTGTTGGATTGGAACTGAAATGACTCGAGGAAAATTCATTGTGGAAGAAGGTGTAGAGATGAAATGGAAAGAAGAAACAGAGGTAAATTGACCTCATACATAGTAGTAACTGTTGGGAATTTACTTAAACACGCACAATGGAATTAAATATTTTCAATTCTCATTCAGAATTCAGCTTTGTATTTAGATAAGAACTGTGATGAGAAATA